TTTTTTTTTTTTTTTTTAAAGAAAGCAAAGAAGTTGACTTCGGGGGCTTGCTAGAAGCTTCCATTTTAAAAAACTTTTCCCAAAAAAATCCCCCCTGAAAACAAATTTAAAAAAAATCCCAGCAACGGTAAAACCTCAAACAAAAAACAACAAAAGTGTCATGTACAGAAAAGGTCCTTTTGGGAAAGGGTAGGGGGTGGGATTTTCCAGGTCATTGACTTGAAATATATTTTTGAGTTTTGTCCTTCATGTTTTACGGAATAAAAAGTTCAGCCTTTTTATTGCATGAAACTAAAACTGGAAAAGGTGGGGACGTGGAGGAGAGGGTTGAGAGTGGGGAGACGCCCTCCCCTAGCTCCTGGTAATGACACCTCACTTCTTGCATAATTTCTGCCATCTTCCCGCCTGCAAGGCTGGCTCTCTCAGCTTCCTGGAGAAGGGGGTCACACACTCATCGTCATGCTTGGAGAATACTGAAGGGGGGAAGCAAAGGATGGAGAAACTGTGAGCAGCACAGAGCTCAAGAGGAAAGGCTGAGAGCACAGGATGGCACTCGGTGGGCGAGGGGCTGGGAGGCCAGGATGAGGGAAAGGAGGTGGAAGCCCAGCCACCTGGCAGGAACTACGGCAGCCAATGTGACTTCCCCAGCCCTCCCCCGTCAGTCACACCTTCTGCAAACTGGGACTGCAGGGACCTGGGCTCTCAAAGGCTTCAAATGAGCGTGCACAGCAGCCCAGTGCACAAAAGCAAGTGGAAAAGCAGGCAGTGTCCAGCACAGGGAGCCGGCCAGAATCTCTGGAGATGTGAGCCTCACTCCCAGGGCCACGCTGTCCCTCTCAGCCCAGGGCATCTGGCCTGTACATGGCATCCAGAAATGCTGCCACCAGGCAGATGCGGAGGCAGGGGCCAGGCTCCGTGCCAGGTGTGGAGAAATCACCAGGGTGCAAAGCCTAAGCAGGGCTGCTAGGCCACCTACTCGGTGGGCCGGCTGTGGCCACAAGGCCCCTGGCTTGCTGGGCAGAGGCCCCAGACCCTGGGGGAGAGAAGGACCCAGGGAAGAGGAGCGTGAGGGCAGAGGGGCTTACATTGTCGTTCTGGAAAGAGTGAAGGAAGTTCCCTCCTAGCTCGCTGTCATCCCGAGGGGTGCCTGGAGGATTGCTAATGCCACTTATGTTGTTAGGAGAATTCTATGGAGAGAGCAGAGCAGGTGAGTCTCTGGGTCCCCAGCAGCCTGCCCTCCAGAGGGTACACTGCCAGGAGCAGACACGGGCACACACTTACTTTTGGAAGTCCATCTATGTCGCCTGACCCTGGGAAGGAAGAAGAACCCTTTTCAGTTTCTTGCTCACTCCTCCCCCAGGCGTCTCTAGCACCGCGAAGGACCCTTTCCTCCCTGGGCTCCTTGGGGAGGCCCAAGCCCTTCCAACCGAATCCCACACTCTGCAGGGAACTTCCCAGCTGAGCATTATCTTTCTCTCAGGACCTTGCCCTGTGTCCAATCAAGGTCAAGACCCAGGCAGGCCGAGCTCTGCCAAGAGCTGAGGACAGAGCAGGTTGCCGGGCAGGGCGGGGCTGTCTTACCTAAGGATCCGTTCATGTGGTGTGGCTCCATGCCGCCCATGCCTCCCATTGGGCCATCCGAGCCAGGACCCATCGGGAACTGAGGGAGAAGCACAAAGCACAGCTCAGTGGGTGCAGCAAATCGGTCACCAAAGCCAGGCCAGCACCTGTGAGGGCCTGCGCACCATGTCCTGCTTCAGGTGCCTCTGTTCTGGTGGGCAATGGGTGACTAGGAAGCTGGAGCAGGCTCCTCACCACAGCCCCAGGGGAGAAGGGCACAGGTTCTCACTCCCACACGCCACCTAAGGCACCCAACCCAGGCAGGAAAAGGGACCGGTCCATGGCTTCCCATTCCACAAAGGAAGCTCTCGATCGACGCCTCCTGCATCTCCCATGAGCGGCACACAAGCAGGTGTTGGAAGGAGCCAGCCCAGGGACAACAGGAAGCAGGGCAGAGAGCTGGGGCATGGGCTAGGGGTGAAGCAGAGCTGGGCTCAGAAAGGGAACCCGCCCTGTGCCCCTCCCCAGCCCTGCCCAGAACTACCAAGCCTTTCACAGAAAGGCAGCAACCGGATGCAGAAAGGTCCCATCCCACAGTGCCATTCTCGAGGCTGGGCAGGAAATCGGGCCCACAGGAGAGTGAGGTCTGGTGCTGCACCCTGGAGGCAGGATCTGCTGGAGGACATGGACACGTGGCCTGGGCTATGCACTGACACAGAGCCATCACACCTGTGCCTCCGCCCCAGGTACCCAACTGCCCCATGGGACAGCCCCTGCCAGGCCACACGGATGGGGAGAAGAGAAGAACTAGGGGTAGAACGGGTCAGGCAGGGTGGTCACAGAAGGCACTGCCAGGGTCCGGAACGCGCAGAAGGCTGCATGCAGGCAGCAGAGCAGAGAGGGGCATGGAGCAGACAATGCAGGCCGTAGGCCGGACTGAGAGGCGAGGCCTGGGCAGGGGCCACCTTCCACCCGCACCTGACTCAGGAGCAGTGTCCAGCCGCCCTAGGGCTTTGATGCGCACTAGGCCATCAGGCAGCAGACCTGAGCCATACAGGGTTGAGGGCGACCTCTTTTAGGAAGCCAACTCAGGACACAGCCGTGCCAGGCCACAGAACACACCAACATAATATACGCTTCTAGACACGCTATTACAAACACAAACACATGTTGTCATTTAAGTATATGAGTCAGGTATTTGAAATTATTCTGCTATATTAACAGTGACACTGAGCTGTAACTCACATGCATATAACTGATCCACTTAAAGTGTACAATTCAGTGGTTTTTAGTATATTTGTGGACCTGTGTATCCCATCACCACAATCAATTTTAGGACATTTCCATCACCCCACCCCCTGAAGAAATCCTGTGTGCATTAGCAGTTATTCCTCAGCTCCCTTCCAATCTCAGCCTTAAGGATCCAGTAATCCTTCTGTCTCTGTGAATACGTTTATGCTGGACACCGGATATAAAGGGAACCACATGACCTCTGTGGGTGGCTCTTTTCACTCAGCAAGTTTCCAAAGTTCATCCTTGCCACTGCAGGAATCACTTATTTTATTCTTTCTTACAGACGAACGAGTCCAGTGTGGACACAACACATTTTTACCTATCCGGTCACCAGCTGATGGTACAGTCTGAGTCTGGAGGTTTGCACTTTGGGCTACTGTGAACGCGAGTCCCCATGTGACGAACACCATTTCTTTCTGGGAGATGCCCAGCAGTGCTGGTGTCAGGTCACGTGGGACTCAGTGCTTAGCCCGCCTCAGGATGCCCGACAGCCCCACCGTGGAACCCCACAGCCCTGCGAGCGAGTGGTGGGTAAGGACTCTGGCTTCTCCACGCAATCTCCCGAGTCAGCAGTCAGCTGACTTCTTTACTCCAGCCATCACAGTGGGTGGGAAGTGGGGCCTGAGCGAGTGCCAATCCGCACTCCCGATGACTAATGAGGACAGCACCCTTTTCTGCATGTGCTTGCTATTTGTGTATTGAGAGAGAAGTCTGTTTAGATGCTTGCTCCATTTTTAACAGGAGTCTTTATTCTTGAGTTCTTTATATATTTTGGTTCATATTCCTTCTCAGATCTAGACTTACAAATATTTTTTCTAGCCCATGGATTGTCTACTTAACTTTTCTTTTTTTTTTTTTTGAGATATGGTCTTGCTATGTTGCCCAAGGTGGTCTCAATTTGGACTCAAGAGATCTTCCTGCTTCAGCCTTCATAGCAAGTAGATGGTACTACAGGTGTGCACCACCAATCTCTTTTTTATTTGTTTGTTTCCTTCTGATGAACAAAACATCCAACTTGCCCACTACTTTTTTCTATTTGTGCTTTCAGTGTTACATCTAAGGGAGCTTTGCTTCATCTGGGTCATGAAGATCTTCTATTTTGGGTGCTTTATAGGTTTAGCCTTGACGTGTGGGTCTATGATCTACTTTGAGCTCGTTTTTATGCACTGATACCAGCAAGTAGTCTGATCTCCAGTGCTTGCATGAGGATATCCAGTAGTCCTGGCACATTTATCTATTGTTATTTGTTACACAAATGCCATTATTAACAGTAGCAATTAGTAGAAGGACTAGTTAAGTACATGCCCCCTGTGAGTAAACTTTAAAACCTGTATGCTTTCATCGATGGATATAGTCATCCACCTGTTCTTTCTGCCCCATGACACAGCAGCAATTTCCGGCTCGGCTGCATTTCCCAGTGTGACTACTCTCAGCACCCTGTAGCCCACAGGACATCTTCTTGCTGGTGCATGTGCAGTGGTGGCTTCCAGCTCCTTGACAGTCTACACTGCAGGCTCTAGGCTAGCTCTGGACTGCTCACCAGTCAGGGCCTCTGTAGCTGTGAATCCCCACATGAAACCACCATGCTATGAGGCCCATTACCTGCATGCACTACAAAGTGCATGGGACAGAAATCACGTAAATGAAACTTCTGTTTCTAAGGAAGAATGGTTTCAAAGCACATAGGTAACAGACTTGGAAAACCCGAGGTGGAGACCAAGTAAGTCAGAAATTTTAATAAAGTGAAGAAGTCTGGTTTCACTTGGCTACCCTTTCTCGTGACGCTCTGAGTTCACCAGCAGTCTCATTCCCAAAGAACGAGTCACTGTTTCTGTGGTGTGAGGTTCCACTGCAACCTCCACCCAACGGAGAACAATTCAGGGTGCTCCTGGCGGCCTCTCTCACGACGAGCACAGCCCTGGAAGAACAGGTCACACCCCTCCTTCACTGCTATCCCATCTCTTCTCACACCCATTTCCACAGCAGAGATGGACATCGACACCCAGCTTGGCTTACACGTCAATAAATATGGTTTTTTCAGCAGGCCCACGGTTCAACACCTTTTGTACGGCAGCAACAATGAGTCACCCAGTGGGCCCGTGGGAGACAGTTTCCATTTCTAGGAGGTCAAGAAACTCATTCAGTTCTTCTGCAAGCTTTGAGGACATTGAAAAGTGACCCAGGGGGACCGAGAGATGGAAGAAAGGGGCAGGAAAAGAAGGGAAGAGGAAGGAGAAGGAATCAAGATGGGTTATGTACACGTACCAACTAGCCATGAAGAATACAATCATTATGTATTGCAAACATTTACCAAAAAAAACCCAAAACTTTTTTAAAAAAGTGACCCCAAACTTTCATTAACATACCTGGTTATCTCAGGTAGGCAGATCACAGCCCCCTTTGTGGCAGAGTCAGGTACAAGGTGTACAGGAACTTCAGCAGGTAAAGTAATTTCACTTCTGATGGCAAGAAACTTTTAGGCTAAATGGAACTTGCCAAAATTAACTGTGTATTCTGCCAAATATGCAGATAAATGAGCAATGCCTAGTTTGTGTTTCACGAAGAGAACAATAATCTTCTGCCGTTTAAAATCATCACAGAAACCAGTATTACTTCAAACTGTGGTTTTTAAATCACTGTACTAAGATCTAGCAGGAACTGGGTTTTTTTCTGTCCAGCGGTGCTGGGGACCAAACCCAGCGTGTGTGTCATCCACACTAGGCACGTGCTCTACCTGAGCCACCCCGCAGCCTGTCACACGCCTGTTTGGGTCAGGACCCGAATCATTGGTGCTGTACCACAGGTGAGACGAGACAGACCCGCTCTCCTCACAGACCAACACATCGCTATCAAATCTCTCTCTTCGCGCACACACCGGGCTTTCGATGCCACCTCTGAATCAGGAAATGTACCTTTCTCAGTTCACAGCACAATCAGGGAGCGCGATGATGCCAGGGCTCATTCCAGGTTCTGCCCAAACCAATCCAGCAGCTATTTTTGACTGAGCACCACCAGATTCAGAACAATGTGCCTAGAGCCAGGTGTGGTGGCGCACACCTGTAATCCCAGCACTCTAGAGGATGAGGCAGGAGTTCGAGGCCAGCCTGGGCTACACAGTGAGTTCAGGGCCAGCCTGAACTATGAAGGGAGACCTTGCCTCAAAAACCCAAAAAAACAAACAAACAAAAAAGAATGATGTGCCTATGTGTGCTTCCCCATCTCCTATACAGCCACGCCTAATCCCAAATTCTTTTCCACTCTGCACTGTTTGGTTCTCTTCTGCTACAATCCAGTTGTGTGTGTCTTTCCAGCTGTCACTGAAATAACACAGTCACTCTGCTTTCTTTTCCAATGATGCTGGGTCATGTGGTGCGGACACTGTCATCTTTCTCTCTTTCATGATGGGAACTCTTAGAAACCCCGTCACAATACTCACAATGCTAACAATGAAACCAGCACTACCTCAACACAAAGCGTATGATTCAGGAGTCTGTAGCACGCAGGGGGGACTCTGTATGCTGAGGAGAGGCCCTCAGGCTAGAAGGCCAGCATCTGCACTTGAGAAAAATATGGTGACAGTGACCACAAGAGGCAGATAATCTGTGCTGTGTCCATCTGGCACTGAAAATAGTATTAGTCACTTGGGAGGCTGAGGTAGGAGGACTGCTGTGAGTTTGAGACCAGCCTGGGCTAGACAGTGAGTTCAAGGCCAGCGTGAACTACATGGTGAGACCCTGTCTCAAAAAACCAAACCAAACCAAAAAGTGTTCTCTGTTTTGTCTTTGGGGCCTCTGTATGGGTCTTACGCCTTTCAACTCAACATTCTGCATCTGTTGCCAAGACCCAGGACATTTTGTGCCCTGAGATTCCTCCAGATGTAGAGCTTCTGGTACCACAATCCCAGGAAGGGTCAATGAGGCTGGGGTGATGGGAGGCACTGGCTTCCCAGGAGAAAGGTGTGGATCAGAAAGTGTCTGACAGCATTTCCTTGCCATGAGACCCTGGTGAAGTCGCCAGGCCAGAGAGAGGGTCCACGGAGGGCTGCAGGCGGCCGTGTGTGTGTGGGCAGCTGTACTCCGGCCTTAGTACATGGAGTGATTTGGGTATCACCTCAGCAACTGGATCAGTAAGACCAAACAGAGTGCCCCAAAGGCTTCATCCTGTGAGCCAGGGCAGAGACAGCCCCTGCCTGGCTCTGGAGCCCACAGCCCTGCTGCCCAGACCTGCAGCTCCCTGGCAGAGGCTGGATCAAGCCTCTACCTGCACACCGGAGGGCGAGACTGAGCACGCGTGCAGCTGTCGACGGGGAGCAGACCTGGCTCTGCACCTGGGAAGCTCCTCCTAGCTGGCCACAGAGGCCATGAGGCCACACAGGTAGGTCACCCGTGGGCTCAGGGGACAAGTGGGGGTCAGATCAAGGAGGCTCTGCACTGCAAGGTGCTTCAAAGATTGGACTCTGGAGCAGGAAGGGAAGGAGCACGGCCAGGGCAGAGGCACAGCTGCTGGACACAGGGGTCCCAGAGCTCACAGCTGCAACACCAGGTAGGCGCGACCCAGAATCTCCTGCTGGGCTCTCCACTCTTAGCACCACACACAAGGAACCGGCCTGGAGACCAGGAAGGGATGGCTCAGGTTGGTGGAGCTGTCAGTGTGGGGACCAGAGCCCTCAAGCACTTTCTCCTCCTCTGCCACCTCTGCCAGCCATGAAACTGGCAGTGGGTAGCCCAAGAGTTAATCACTTTTCTGACGGTTTATTTTATTCATCTTTGGTAACAAATGGCTGAAATCAATTAAACTTGCTTTCCCCTCAGCTGATGAAGTTAATTATGATTTGTTATGGGATCTGATATGTAAATTACTAGAAAGCAGACTTACGTTGGACCGGCTGCCTCCGGGCGGCACTGGATTAATCATTGTGTAGATGTTGTCACTGGAATTTGTTGAATCTGTAGAACAGAGGAAACCCACAAGTCGAGGTGATTAATTCATTTCTTAATTAAAACAAACTTGTGGCACTTGAACTCATTCTTTTGTATTTTATCACCTAAAATTTCCTCTAAGTACCACCATTTTCTGGCTAATTTGTATTTAATGAAGATTCACAAAGTTTTTAATCACAGAAAATTCAACTGTGAAAACCACTCAACCACAAAACGAAGCATTTCAGGGTGTCTGGCCAGCTGTGTGGACAGGGCACGGGAATTAAAGGTTCTACTGCCCGTGACAGTGCCGGGGGGGTTGAGGCCACCACCTGGGCTCCCCAACACCACCGCCCAGGGGAAGGGAAATGCTGGTATTACCCAGGGGCCGGCCTGCCAGGCTGAAGGGGCAGGAGAAGAGGCAGGGACGGGGCTGGAGACATGTTAACACACGGAGCGGGTTAGCATGACCCAGTCTGAATGTAGGTCACGCAGCTCATCAAAATGCGGCGGCAGAAGAGGGAGCCAGAGGGGAGCTGTATCTCGGCCGCCAGCTCCCCCGGCAGCAGAGCAGCTTCCCTGTGTGTGTGTGGGGGGGTGAGGGGCTGAGGTGTAGGTCCCTCCAGCTCCCCACTTCGCCAGTGAAGTCTGAGGAGATCAGCCAATGTGCTTCTATCATGAGCAGGCCTGGATTTCTTGGGCAGAAATCTGGACTGCCTCTCACTTTTTATTTTTGGGATGGGCAGGGGCTGAGTTGAATCCCTTCTGGCTGGCGGGCGTGCTATTCTTAGCTGGGAAAGACACAGAAGTGTGACGTTGTGTGAGCGTATGTGCACAGGCCCACGTGTGCATGCACATGCACTCTTCTGAGTAAAGAGAGCGGGGAAAGGGATCTTTTGCAGAAGCCCAGAAGCCCAGCGCTCTGGACACTAGAGAAGAACCATGCCACAGGATGCCAGAGCCCCGAGCCCATCTTGTGTCACCAGGACAGGGTTCTCCCTAACAAGGGGCTAAAGACAGTGAAGCCCCTTGTCCTCAGATCTCTCTGCTCAGCCTCCAAGAGCCAGAAGAGATGTGACCTGTCCGAGGCCACACAGTGAGTGGGTCAGGGGCACCGAGAACCAACAGCCCTGTAAATGTCCCAATGTCACAATGCCCAGCAGGGATGTGCTGCTCAGGAAAGAGTGGCTGGTGGGTTGTGCTCTGCACCTCACCCCCCAGGACTTCCAAGTAACTTCCCCCCGCAGGGATCCCCTTGCCCCCAAGCCCTCTTACCTGCAGGACTAGGCATGATAGGTGTTCCTGGAGGGCCGCCACCACCGGGGGGTCCCTGAGATGAGACAGAAGCTAGCATCAGTCATCCAGGGTGGTACCAGGTATGGGGAGAGGCCACCATATCCCCTCCCTGCAAGCAGTGATCACTGCCTGGCCCAGCCGCATTCCTCTCACTTACTCCAGGCCCACCTGGAGCCAGGTGTGTGAGCCTGAGGGGCTGGGCTTAGAGTTCCCTCCTGCTCCTCCTGTCAAGAGGCACCCATGGCAGCTCAAGTGGTGACAGCAGAGGCTTAAGGGGGTGCCCCATAGCATGCTGGGTAGCTCCCCACGAGGCCATTCCCAGGTCTTGTTTGGGGGTTTCTGGGCCACTCAGGCCCACCACTGATTGCAAGTCATGCTAGTTTAGAACCCGCGCCCAGAACGTGTCTGATGGGGACAGGCAGGGACCCTGAGCAGTCCTGTACGTGCAGCTGGTCACACGTGGAAACCCAGTCAGTGCCCCAGGCCCTCACTTACCACGTAGGTGCCGGGTGACGAGGAGGAGTATGGAATCTGGAAACGAGATATGGGAGCCACATATGAGAGCCACCTCCCCAACAGGCAGTGCCCCTTTGCTTACAAACCCTCTCTCCCAGGAAAAGCTTCAGACCCAGTGAACTCAGTTCCCCAGGAGGGCTGGTGCTGGGAGTGCCACCCAGTTCTGGGCTCCACAGCACCCATCCCAGGAATCTGGTCTCCTTCTGCCCAGTCTCGGGGGAGGGCTGGCGTGGGGGCAGGGAGGCCTCCAGTGTGGGAGGGCAGGAGAGCGCGGCTCCACCCTACTCCTCCAGCCTGTGTCTGGACTTTGGCGCCAAGCATCTTGCCCCTCCTGCCTGGGGATGCTGGGAATCAGCCCTGCTAGGAGACTGGCAGGGGTCTCCTTCTCCTCTCACTCTCTGACCTCAGCGGCCAGCCCTCACTGATCCCAGGCAGATAGAATCCTACTGCAGATTCCCCTCCTGACACCACCAGGGGACGGAAGCCCCTAGCCTAGCCCCTGGAACCTCTTCCCTGGCAAACACCCTGTCCAGCCTGGATACTCACTGAGTTAGCACTGTTGGGATTGGGCCAGGGTCTGCCAGCTCCCGGGCCCCTGGGAGGGAGAGAGATGAGACAATGAAACAGGAGTGGCCCACCTAACTGGACACCTGTGCAAGGTCCTAGGGCCTCAGAAGCCGACTGGCTCTGCCATATTAATGGGTAGTTCCAAGAGTGGAGAGCTATGAACTCCTCAAAATTCTATGTAAAATGCTTAACATTTACAAGATCGTCTACAAAGTGCATGAAATGCCCCTGCACGTGTTTTCCTAGAAAGGCAGTGCACAGTTCTCACACTCACCAAAAAGATTCAAACAATGGCCACCTCTACAGGGCCCAGTTTTGACTCAGCCAATGAAAGCTGTGTGGACCTGGGAAAGTCACTTTACCTCTCTGCCTCAGTGGCCTCATACATGGGATGACAAGTGTCACCCGGGAATATCACAAAGACCAGACAAGCGGGTCCCTCAGCATGCCTGCAATGCTGCCCGGCTCAATGGCACTAGATGAGGATGGGTTCTCACCCAGGTCATCAACAGCCACATCTGCCACTGAGGGCACTGAGGTCCAGAGAGGCCCCGGCACGGGCTCCTAGCAGGAGACTGCTGGGCGCCGGCTGAGGGTGGGGAGGGCCGTAGCTCTGAGCCTGGCCGGGGCCTTTTCGCCTTACATGTTAATCCCGGGCATGGCGGGGCCGAGGGAGTTGGGTGGTGGTCTCATGCCGCTGCCGTAATTCTGCAACGATAACCAAGGGTCAGTCTATGAGAAGGAGAAGGGGAACCAGAGAGAGGAGGGAGGGAAAACAGACAGACAGAACATAAGCAAGAGGGTTAGTCTGTGAAGGACCTGACGAGAAAAACAATACATTCTTTCAAATAAGGTGCAGTGGGGACAAGCAGCGGAGACCACAATGACAAGCTAGCACAGAGGGACAGTCACGACGGCCAATGTGTTTTACGAGGCGTCAGGTTGCTAGTGTCAAAGGCTACTCATCTGAACCTTCCCCATCTTTGGGCAAGGGAGAGGGAGGGACGGGTCACGGAGCTGAATGGGGATAGCAGCCACTTAAAAGACCGGTGAGTGCGTGCGTGTGTGTGAGAGAGAGAGACAGGGCAAGTCAGAGCACAGAGGGGTATGTGGCATGGACAGAACCCCACCTGCCCCACCATCCTGGCCATGTGTCACAGTGCTGGGGAGGAGAGGACTCCACTTCTACTTGAGAGATCACCACCGGACTGGGGAGTCTACACAGTCGGACACATCTGGAACCCAGTTCAGCTCAGTACAACTCACTGGGGCTGGGGGCGGGGGAGGAAGAGGGCACCTGGCCTCACACCCCGTGCACCTCCTGTCCTGACCCAGCTGCCCGGCCTCTGTGACACTGCTCCCACCTATCCCGAGGTTGACGCTCCATCCACCAAGTTACTTCCAAAACGCACTGTGCCCTCACCATGGCACCAGCTGTTCCACCCTGTGCTATGACCACAGCCACACAGCCACATGGCCACCCCCTACCTCTCCTGCTGGATGCTAAGGGCCTTCACAAGGTGGGGACAGCACAGATGGGCTCAGTGAGCCAGCACTGAGTGTCAGGGAAAGGAGGTATGAAGCCTGGTGGCAAAGGAGGAGCCAGCACAGCTGCCTTTCACCAAGCACAACCACACTTCATAGTCAGTCTCTGGTCTGGTCCTTAAACTCCAGGAGGCTGATCTTACTCCCTTCTTTCTGAGGAGGAGACTGAAGGTCTGTGGGAGGCAGGGTTACTGGAAACACAGCACTGGAGCCAGGCTTCCACCTGGACCAGCAGCCCCAGGGCCCGCACTCTTCACCACTCTTCTGGGGGATGGAGCCAGAGCTGGAAGCTCGAGGCTGTAGCAGCAGTCAGGATGACGGGTCTTTATCCAGGGACCGGCTCCCATGTCTTACTGTTGGCTTGGGGTCACCTGCTCTTCCTGGTCACCCAGAGGCCTGGGGTCCACAACGCCCAGGCAGGCTGCTGACAACTAAGGAGCAACACCAGGCTGGCTGGCAGTGGGCAGGCCTGATGGCAGGGAGCACAGGATGCCAGCTGGCACACACCAAGACTGCCGCCCCCTGTGCTTTCTCAGATGAGCAGCGGCTGTCCTGGGGCTCATGCTGCGGGGCTGGGCCCAAGTTACAAATAGGTGCTTGGTGCCTAGAGTGGTGAAGCAAGAGTCTGAAACTTCATGTGTGCACATGGGAAGCGGGCCTCAGATGGGCCACTTGCTGGCGACTTAGGCAAAGTACAAAGAGTGACAATGCTTCCTTCCATCAGCCTGTGCTATCTGCTTTCACTCATACTTAATGGTCAGAAAAACTCCTGGACTCTCCCAGCTTTCGAGACTAAAAACTGAGGTGCTGAAGCACAGTGCCAGCCCTGGGGCACAGCTACATGCGGCTGAGCTGGGATGAAGCCCTGCAGCCTGGCCCTGGCTCACTGACTGCCCTGCTTGTACAATGGGGACAAAGAGCCCATGAGGCTTCACCCTTCCAGGGCCCAAAAGGGCTGTGATGTGAGCCCGGGAAGCACCAGCATTGGGGACAGTGGCAGGGGAGCAAACACAGCCTCCTTTAACACCACTGTGGCAGTGCAGAGCTCAGGCCTCAAAGGCCTTTTTGAAGGCCCATGCGTCAATGCTACATCCTGCACAGGAAGCTCACCATGTGGCAGCAGCCTCCTGTCCATCGTGCACAGCCCAGCCTGCTAGACAGGTCCTCCAGGTGCAACCAGAACTTCTGGACCTGCAGCTGCAGCAGCTGCTGCCCCAGCCAGGGGGAAAGGCCCGCACTGCAGCCAGCAAGGCGAGAGCTCAGAACAGAATGAGAGGTCTGGCGGGTGCTCACCCCAGAGAGATGAGACGGCTGAACATGCTGCATGCAGCTGCGGGGAAGGGCACAGCCCTGTAGCTCCCCTTCTCCTCGGCCTGTGAAGTCACCCCTGCAGATGCAGACCCCAGGGGTCACTCGTCTTTCTACTTCACAGATGACAACCTGGAGGTCCAGAGAGGTCAGAAACTTGCCCAATGCCACCTGCTGAGTCAGGAGTGAAAGTCCAGCAGAAGTCAGGTTTGGGCCAGTTTTCTAATCAGAAACACCAGGCTTTCACACAAGGCTGAAGGCCTAGCAGATGATTTCTGAGCCTCTGGTGCAATGGGCTCCTGCCCTCCATGGGCTGCTGGAGGGGAGGACATGCTTATTAAGCACAAACTCCCCTTCACCCGCCATCACACTGCGCTCCAAGGATGGGGCCACCACCTACGGGGGTCTATCTGCCCAGGTCTTCATCCTCTTCCCCACTTGGGTGGCCCAGAACTAGAACAGGGGCTCTGTCCAGGCTCACAAGAACACAGGCCCCACCCTCTCGGCCTCAGCCTCTGCTCCACAGGATTCAGTGACAGGGGGCTCTTTGTGCTTCCTGTGGCCTGCCTGGGGCTGTCTTAAAGATCACAGTATAAAGAATGAGCAATCCAATCCTCAGGGAGACTGTCTGGAAAGTTTCTGGGAGCCCCACTCCCTCTTCACCCAGCCCTAGGTGCTCTGCCCCAGCACTGACAATCCCTCCACCTCTTCATGGCCTCAGACAGACTGAGCTTGGATCAGCCGTGGGTCAGAAGGGCCCTGCGGGTGGCATAGGATCGTCTGTGGGGATTGTGCACTACCTTTCATCTGAAACTCCCTAGACATCAGACAAGCCAGCGTGATGACATGACCAAGTCTGATGGTCACTCTTGACTGTCCACTTGAGTGGCTTGAGCACCACTTAGCAAAACACACTTCTGGGTGTGTCTGATGGGCCATGGGTATGACCTTGGGGATTCTATCTGGCCTTGGTCCACTTTTCTCTGGTCCTTCCTTGCCCTGTTTCCTGCCTGCCATGAGCTGAGCAGCTTTCCTTCCACAATGTTTCCTTGGAGCCAGCCTACCATGGCCCAAATATCCCTTTTCTTCTTTGGGTGTTGCGTGTTTTTGTCACAGCCCTAGAAAGTTGAGTAATATAAGTCCCAACCCAAGTACCAGACCTCTGAGGCTTTGGGGACTGGTACCCTCAGGTCTCTCACTGGGTCATGTACTCTATTGAGGTCTGATCAGGAGCCTGGGAACTTCAGCCTCATCTAAAAGAATTTACTTTAGGGCCAGGGATTTAGCTCAGTGGTGCTGCCACCTGCCTTGTAAGCGAAAGGTCCCGAGTTAGACTCCCCTTACCAAAAAAAAAAAAAAAAAAAAAAAAA